ATGTGGGACTTTTCCTTCATGGGAATGTGGGACTTTTCCATCCTGGATGTGGTGGCTCTGGGCTGGGAATGTGGGGTTTTTCCATCCTGGAAAGGTGGCTCTGGGCTGGGAATGTGGGACTTTTCCTTCATGGGAATGTGGGACTTTTCCATCCTGGAAAGGCGGCTCTGGGCTGGGAATGTGGGACTTTTCCTTCCTGGGAATGTGGGAGTTCTCCTTCCTGGAAAGGTGGCTCCGGGCTGGGAATGTGGGACTTTTCCTTCATGGGAACGTGGGACTTTTCCTTCATGGAAAAGTGACTCTGGGCTGGGAATGTGGTGCCTGAAGGGGCTCCAGGAGAGCTGGAGAGGGACTGGGGATCAGGGCCTGGAATGCCAGGACCCAGGGAATGGATCCCACTGGGAAAGGGGAGATTGGGAAGGGATTCCTGGCTGGGAGGGTGGGGAGGGGCTGGGCTGGAATTCCCAGAGAAGCTGTGGCTGCCCCTGGATCCCTGGGAGTGTCCAAGTCCGGGCTGGATTCCCTGGGACAGCGGGAGGTGTCGGGGCTGGAACGAGATGATCTTTAAGATCCCTTCCCACCCCACCCATTCCATGTTTCCCTGTCTCTCAGGAGGTGATCCGGTCGATCCTGCTGAGCGGTCGGATCGGGCCGGACATCCGGTTATCCCGCTGCTACGGATTGAGGCTCAAACACGTCAAATCCGACGAGATCCATTGGCTGCACCCGGAGCTGACGGTGGGAGAGGTGCAGGACAGGTACGAGTGTCTGCACCTCGAGGCCGAGTGGAGGTAGGAGACACCCCCCCATCCTTCCCAAAATCCACCTGGGATTGAGGAATTGATGGAATGAGGGGGTTTTGGTGGCTCCTGCTGCTTCCAGGTACGACCTGCAGATCCGGTACCTGCCCGAGGATTTCCTGGAGCGCTTCCAGGAGGACAGGACCACCCTGCTCTACTTCTACCAGCAGGTCCGAGGGGGGAGATCCCAGGGCTGTTCCTGTCCCGCCCATCTCAAAATCCCGGAGGGTTTCCCTCCTCTCCGGCCCCAAAAATGGGATTCCCGAGAGCCCCCAGGGTTTGTCACCCCAGGGTTTGTCACCTGAGAGCACCAAGGGTTTGTCACCCAGAGCCCCCAGGGTTTGTCACCCCAGGATTTGTCACCCCAGGGTTTGTCACCAAAGGGTCCCGAGGGTTTGTCACCCAGAGCCCCCAGGGTTTGTCACCCCAGGGTTTGTCACCCCAGAGCCCCCAGGGTTTGTCACCCCAGGGTTTGTCACCCAGAGTCCTGAGGGTTTGTCACCCGAAAGCCCCCAGGGTTTGTCACCCGAGGGCCCCCAGGGTTTGTCACCCTGTCCATGTCCCTTCTGTCCCTGCCCATGTCCCCTCTGTCCCATCCCATGTCCCCTCTGTCCATGTCCCCTCTGTCCCCTCTGTCCCTGCCCGTGTCCCCTCTGTCCCTGCCCATGTCCCCTCTGTCCCTGTCTATGTCCCTCTGCCCCTGCCCATGTCCCCTCTGTCCCTTCCCCGTGTCCCCTCTGTCCCTACCCATGTCCCCTCTGTCCCTGCTGTCCCCTCTGTCCCTGCCCGTGTCCCTTCTGTCCCCTCTGTCCCTGCCCGTGTCCCCTCTCTCCCTGCCCATGTCCCTCTGTCCCTGCCAGTGTCCCCATGTCCCCTCTGTCCCTGCTGTCCCTGACGGTGTCCCCTCTGTCCCCTCTGTCCCTGCCCGTGTCCCCTTGTCCCTGCTGTCCCCTCTGTCCCTGACGATGTCCCCTCTGTCCCTGGTGTTGTCCCCTCAGCTGCGCAGTGAGTACATGCAGAACTACGCCAGCAAGGTGAGCGAGGGCATGGCCCTGCAGCTCGGCTGCCTCGAGCTCAGGTAAGGACCTAAATGTCCCCAAGTGTCCCCAAGTGTCCCCCCATGTCCCTCTGTGTCCCCCCCGTGTCCCTCCTTCCTTCTGTGCCCTGCCAGGTACGTCCCTCTGTGTCCCTTCGTGTCCCTCTGTCCCTCTGCCCCTCAATGTCTCCTTCCCTCTGTCCCCTCCCTCGGCTACATCCCTCCTGTCCCTTCCTGTCCCCTCTGTCCCCGTGTCCCTCCTTCCCTCTGTCCCTCCCAGGTACATCCCTCCTGTCCCTCTGTCCCCCTGTCCCTCCTTCCCTCTGTCTCTCCCAGGTACGTCCCTCCTGTCCCTTCCTGTGCCCTCTGTCCTTCTGTCCCCCTGTCCCCTGTCCCCATGTCCCTCTGTCCCTCTGTCCCCTCCCAGGTACGTCTCTCCTGTCCCTTCCTGTCCTCTCTGTCCTTCTGTCCCTCTGTCCCCGTGTCCCTCCATCCCTCTGTCCCCTGCCAGGTACATCCCTCCTGTCCCCTCTGTCCCCTCTGTCCCCCTGTCCCCTCCCATGTACATCCCTCCTGTCCCTTCCTGTTTCTCTGTCCTTCTGTCCCCCTGTCCTCATGTCCCTCCATCCCTCTGTCCCCACCCAGGTACATCCTTCCTGTCCTTTCCTGTCCCCCTGTCCCCATGTCCCTCCATCCCTCTGACCCCCCCCCCAGGTACATCCCTCCTGTCCCTTCCTGTCCCCTCTGTCCCTCTGTCCCCCTGTCCCCATGTCCCTCCATCCCCCTATCCCCTCCCAGGTACATCCTTCCTGTCCCCTTTGTTCTTCTGTCCCCCGTCCCTCCTTCCCTCTGTCCCCCCCCAGGTACGTCCTTCCTGTCCCTCTGTCCCCCTGTCCCTCCCACCCCGGGTACGTCCTTCCTGTCCCCTCTGTCCTTCTGTCCCCCTGTCCCCATGTCCCTCCTTCCCTCTGTCCCTCCCCCAGGTACATCCTTCCTGTCCCCTGTGTCCCTCTGTCCTTCTGTCCCTTTGTCCCCTGCCAGGTGCATCCCTCCTGTCCCTTCCTGTCCCCTCTGTCCCCCTGTCCCTGTGTCCCTCCATCTCTCTGTCCCCTGCCAGGTACATCCCTCTTGTCCCCTCTGTCCCCTCTGTGCTTCTGTCCCCCAGTCCCTCCTTCCCTCTGTCCCTACCCCAGGTACGTCCCTCCTGTCCCCCTGTCCTTCTGTCCCCCTGTCCCTCCTTCCCTCTGTCCCTCTCAGGTACATCCCTCCTGTCCCCCTGTCCTTCTGTCCCCCTGTCCCTCCATCCCTCTGTCCCCCCCCCCCCAGATACATCCCTCCTGTCCCTTCCTGTCCCCTTTGTCCCTCTGTCCCCCTGTCCCTCCATCCCTCTGTCCCTCCCCAGGTACATCCTTCCTGTCCCTTCCTGTCCCCATGTCCTCATGTCCCTCCATCCCTCTGTCCCCCCCCCCCCCCGTACATCCTTCCTGTCCCTTCCTGTCCCCCGTGTCCCCGTGTCCCTCCTTCCCTCTGTCCCCCCCCAGGTACATCCCTCCTGTCCCTCCCTGTCCCCTCTGTCCTTCTGTCCCCCTGTCCCCCTGGCCCTCCATCCCTCTGTCCCTCCCCCAGGTACATCCCTCCATCCCTCCATCCCTCTGTGCCCTCCCAAGTGTGTCCCTCTGTCCCCTCCCAGGTGTGTCCCTGTCCCTGTGTCCCCTCCCAGGTGTGTCCCTCTGTCCCTCTGTCCCCTCCCAGGTCTGTCCCTCTGTCCCTGTGTCCCCTCTCAGGTGTGTCCGTGTGTCCCCTCTGTCCCTGTGGGAGGGCAGGGGAGGGCTCTGGGCCCGGGATCTGGGGGACAGGAGGGATTGTCCCTCTCTGGGTGGGATGAGGGGGGATGGGGGGGACAGGGGGGCCTGTTTGATGTCCGTGTCCTGGGGTGACCCCTGTCCTTGTTTGATGTCCCTGTCCTGGGGGTTCAGGGGTCCCTGTGTGATGTCCCTGTCCCTGTTTGATGTCCCTGTCCCTGTTTGATGTCCCTGTCCTGGGGGTTCAG